AACATGTCCAGAGATATTTCCCTTCATTTATATATATATCTATATATATATATATATATATACCTTACTCGTCCCGCGTCAAAAACTTGAATATATAATTGTTGCCGGAAGTAATATCTGTACTTTTGCAGCACGTGACGCAACCTATTCTCAACTTTTAAACTTCCTTAATCATCCATATGACTTATAAAGTCAAGTTTAATATTTTCTCACTACGCCCTTAAGTTTAATATTATTTTCTTATTTAAAAAGCAGATAAACCTGAATACGAGATGCTTTTACAGAAGAAAATATCTACTATAATCATGTTGTAACGAGCAAAAAAAAATCTAAATAGATATCTGATGTGAAAGTCATGGTATACAACATTGTTGTACCAAAAAGAACCTCTAGTATAGGGTTGCAATTCGAGTCAGTTGGGGATCGGGTTTGAGTCCGACCCAAAAATCACTTGAATCGGGTAAACCCGAAACCGAACTGAATAATAAATAGCCCGAAGTCTCTGACCGAAATCTAACCTGAATAATAAACGAATTTTAAAAGACAGCATTTAAAGATCTTGAATCTTTTAATCCTAAATTTTAATTTATCATGAATTTTTTATTAAGATTTTTATATAGAAAATTTTATAATTTTATTATTTTAAAGAGTATAAATTTCAATTTTTATGACATTCTAGATAAACTAGAATGAAACAAGAAAAACAATCCAAGCATACAATCAAGCAGTATGAAGAAAAAATACTCCAAAATATATAAAGTGGTCAGTGTCTCTAGATCGACAACATATCTCTTGAAAAGCAGAAAAGACAGTCGACTCCGCATATATGTGCGCGGTCCAAGATCTATAAAAAAATATATAATTCAAACTTAAGGTACAAAACACAAGTTACCCCGCTCATGATCCTCGTCGCGTGGTTCAATATGTCATCTGCCTCGAATCCCGTACAAGTATCTTATTTTCGATACATACTCTATCAAATACATTTGAAATAGAGAATAAAAACTCAACCTGCATGAAACCAAGATTAGTAGGAAAACCAACAAACATGCAACATATAATGAGCCGTACATTTTCATCGGGCCTGCAAATAGGAGGTTAGTAGAAATCATCTTCGATTCTACTTTCTATAAGCACAATTATTTCCCCGGCATTGTTCTGTGGTTCATTTGGGTGGCACGAAATAGCCATAAATATGATGGTACTTGCCTCACTCCCTCTACTACTTCTACCTTTTGTTGTGGCTTATTTTAAAAAGGCTTGGCGTAATTCCATTGTGCATGAAGCTTCTCCTAATGTTGGTAGGGGTAGGACTCCCATCTTAATTAGCTGGGCACCACCCTCACACGGCAGGATTAAGATTAATGTTGATGGAGGTTTTGCCAAAGAGTATAAGGGTGTGGGTGGAATATTTGGAGATGAAAATGGCCATTGTTGTTTCTTCTTTGCATCACCATGTATGGCAAATTCTCCTATTGAGGCTAAAATTATTGTTGTTCTTGTTGCGTTACAAACTGCTGTCTCTCTAATTTTTAAAACTCTTATTTTGGAAACTGATTCTGAGATTCTCTATAGTATGCTTTCTGCTAAGCTTAACCCCCCTTGGCATGCCATAATTTGGTTTAAGCGCATTAGGCAAATTATTGAGGGACAAGATTTAGACATATTATTTTCCTTACATATAGAGAAGGCAACAAATCTGCGGATTGGCTTGCTAAATGGAGGGTGCAGGGTCCTACTGTTGCCATCACTCCACCTCCCATGCTAGCTAAGTTGATAAAACGTGATGTGGAAGAACCTTATATTTGAGTTTAATTTGGTGTTTACCTGTTTTGTTTTATTTTTATTGGCTTGTATGATATTTTTTTCTGGAAGGCTTGTGGCATCGGTTGTGGGGTTTGCTTTGCCCGCAGTTTTAACTATCATGTGGTGGGGATGAAATTATGTTGGAAGGCTTGGTCTTTCATGCATGGAAAGCTCCTATTCATGGGATTTTGCTGCGTGCACAAAGATGTTAGGGGTATCTGTTTCTTGAAGCTATTAATTTGGGACTACTTGAGGTTTTTATGTTACTTTGTTTTCACTTTAAAGAAGAATGGTCTGAACGTTTATTGGATACAGGACTTGAGTGCTCACATTCTATTGGGTTCACTATTCATTAGTTACAGTTTGGACTCGTTTTATGGCTACGGGTGCTCTAGAGTTAATTGAATTACTTTACCTGTTTTACTTTTGGTTCTTATTGGCATGTAGCTTATGTCAGATTTTCCAATGGACTGTGAGTCACTGCTTGGATGCCCACTATTTCTATTGCTATTTTATTTGGCTTCGAGGGTTAATCAGCTGGACGGATTGGATGGTTATTATGTTTGGTTTGGCTACACATTTTCATAAAATTTGGACTCTGCATCTTCAATTTATTTACTCTCGAATTACCTTTTTTTGTTATACATGTAATTTTTGGTATACACTTATGTTGATGGTTCTTATTGGCATGTAGCTTATGTCAGATTTTCCAATGGACTGTGAGTCACTGCTTGGATGCCCACTATTTCTATTGCTATTTTATTTGGCTTCGAGGGTTAATCAGAAAGAAGAATGGTCTGAACGTTTATTGGATACAGGACTTGAGTGCTCACATTCTATTGGGTTCACTATTCATTAGTTACAGTTTGGACTCGTTTTATGGCTACGGGTGCTATAGAGTTAATTGAATTACTTTACCTGTTTTACTTTTGGTTCTTATTGGCATGTAGCTTATGTCAGATTTTCTAATGGACTGTGAGTCACTGCTTGGATGCCCACTGTTTCTATTGCTATTTCTGGACGGATTGGATGGGTATTATGGTTG